GCTGAAATTATTATTGTTAACTGAAACCAATTAATTCATGTAAGAAAGCCTTTTATTTAGTAAAAAAAAAAGATATTTGAATTAGCCTGATTAAAAAGTCCTAGATAATCAGGAAACAGTACTACAGGAAGTAGTCTTATTACTAAATTCCCTTTAACCAAGACTTTCTCCTATGTGGTGAAGTAAATAAGTGATGGGGTGAGCTGCAACATAAATCAGCCAACATTCAGGTAAGTCTCTTTCTTTAGTAATACACAACTTTAAAGAAAAACCATTCAGATTACTACAAAGAAACATTTAAAATGAGCTCATTAAATGCAAATTAAAACAGAAACATTGAATAAGCACTGGGCTGCAATTAAAGGCTAAAGAAACAGCAGGTAAGAAACAATTTTCATTGATCAAAGAACTGAAAGCTAAGAGAATAAAGTATTTTGCATTGAGACTGCTTCATGAATATGAAGCATTTCGAAGTTAAGAACTTTTACTTTCTTATCCCTTTTTTTCATTTTTCAAAGAAGCTTCGGCGGTAGGAATGGATTTGCATATCTTAATACAAAGTACTTCCATTGTATCATTTTCTTCAAGCCATGAAGCTTTGGACTACAAAAAAAAAAGTATTCAGAAATGAGGCCAAAATTGTAAAGGGCATAGAACATTTTTAAACCTTTGAACCCAAAAGAAAACTGTATATAATTACATGAAATGTTCTACACAAAAGTTTAATAGAAGCTATTTCGTGACCTAATCATAAACAGAAGCTTTAGGTTATGTAGACCTTGAGTTGCTTTCAGTAAAAGTTATTAAAATAACAAGCAGCAATACATGTATATTCCACTAGAAATATAAATGCCAAACTTTAAAATGTACTCCCTACAAGCGTTAAAACAGTTTTATGTGGGCCAATCTAACAGTAAAGTTAGACTGCACCCTCATGAGGGAACTTTTTGTTTTCTTGATGCTGGTGCCCTTAGCACTGAAAGCAGGTCTGAGTACACAGTAAACACTCGGTCCTGTTTCTGTAAAAATGTCTGGTTTGGGGCTCTGTTTTTGTAAAACTAACTTTACAAAACAAGTAAGGAGCAGATATTTTAAAAGCTTATTTTACAACTAAAATATATCCCTAAAGAAGGAGCCAATAAAAAGACTTGTTGGCGTGCCACACTGATCATCTTGTCACAGAGGGTGGTCACTAGGACAGCTGTGCAGCATGTACACTGAAAGGCACTAAAGCCACGGAATGCTCACTTATTGGAGTTTTTCTACATAATTGGTGTCATAAAATACAAGTCTAGAGCAATAATTACTGTATATCTGTACACACAGGAGGTGTAAATTAAGAGACATTATGTTAGACAAGGTAAAGAAAATATTATTACTATTTTAATCAAGCAAATATTTCCTTCCTTCTTTCTTTCACTTTTTTTTCTCATAGTGCTAGAGACTGAACACAAGCCCTTGTGCATGTTAGCAGGCACTCTACGTCTCAAATATACCTCTAGCCTGAAAACATTTTTTTGGGGGCGTCCGGTCGTGGAGCCTGAATTCTGGGCCTGGACACTGTCCCTCAGCTCTTCAGCTCAAGGCTAGAGCTCTACCACTTGAAGCACAGCACCACTTCCGGCTTTTTTTCTTTTTGCTTATGTGGTGCTGAGGAAATCGAACCCAGGCTCTCATGCATACAAGGCAAGCGCTCTACCACTGAGCCACCTTCCAGCTCCCTGAAAACATTTTTAAAGTATAAGCTATATAATGTTTTGTGTGTACACTGGAACTGGGGTTTGAACTCAGGATCTGGTGCTCTTGCTGGCCTTTTTACACTCATGGCTGGCACTCTATCACTTGAACCATACCTCCACTTCTGACTTTTTATGGATTAATTGGAGCAAAAAGTATCTAGGACTTGTCTGCCAAAGCTGGCTTCGAACCTCCATCCTCACATCTCATCTACCTGAGTAGCTAGGATTACAGGTGTGACCTCAGCTTCCATCTTAAGACAGTGAATTTGAACTAAAAAAATCTAATAATTTTACTTCACCATTATATGTATGTACGTATGTATGTATGTATGCATACATGCATGTACTTTAAGAATATTAACATCTAAAGCTATATAGCATTTAGAACAATGTTCAATGTCACTATTACATTTTTAACATAAAGAAATATTTTTAAACTATGATTTTCCAAGAAACTAATCTTTAGGATTCTCCTTAAAAGGATTTAAATGAAGTATAAAAGTATTATCCACACTAGGAGGATGTAGCAACTAGGGAGAGCACGGCAGGAAGGGGACCAGGTAGTAGCCCTCCCATCCATAGAAGAAATAATCCCTAGATATTCTAGTCTCCAGATGATGATTGAGTAAAGACTATATATGATGTCTTTGTTTCCTGGCTCCAAGGTTTAGTTACAAAACAGCGATCAGTCTCTGTTTCTGTTGACTTGCTCTCACATTCACCTGTCTTGACACTGATCGACATACTCAGGTCCAGTTCAAATGTTTATTAAAATGTGGTCCCAGATAGTCTTTGACAAGCCATCCTGCATCTTTCCTTCTGCCACTCTAAGCTATCCCTGGATCTTGCACACAGGAGGACAAGAAATAGTTTTTGAGCTGCTAATAGTTTTTGAGCTGCTAACTGTAATACATGTCCAGGATACAACAAGAAAAAAAAATGTGTCCCTTGACGGAATTAGGCAATACAACTAGTTGAATAAGGCAATTTATTGTACATTGTCAATGTGGCTTTTATCTACTTTTATAGGCAAAACAATAGCTAAAGAAAAAGAACACTTTCTAAAAACATGCCTTTTCCATGTTATTATCAGCATGATGAAATGTAAATATCACAGTTCTTCCTTCTTGAAAGTCTATATAAATCTAAAAAGGGTCTATCATCTGAGTTATTTATATAACCATATATTATATTAATTTATAATTTATTATATTAATTTATAATTTATGTGTGGTCTTCAGTTCCTGATGTAATATAACTTTATACCAAATCTAGATTAAGATAAATTACACTAAATTGTTTGTCTTCAAAATAAGGCATAGTTTTTTCTTATAAAATATTGTGTGGATTTTGAAAATGAATCTCTTCTCTGCTTTAGTTCGTTTATGTTGATAAGTGGATCATATTATGTATATATAATGATTAGGTATTATACTATAATATTATAAATATATATATATAACTTAAGAGTCTCAATAAACTATAGTTTTCTCTTAATTTGATAACTATCAATTCACTCATGAAAGACATACCATGCTAAAAGGAAAGTTGGGTAATATCCATAAGTTTCATCATTGCTGCATCAGTTAACTGGCAGACCCCTCCCCCCATAGTGATATATAAGTAGACTGTTTTACTATTTAACTTCATTTCACAAGTTAAAGCAGATTTCAGAAGTGTCTTCAATGCATAAGACACATATCTTAAAAATCTGCCTCTGGGGCTGGGAAGGTGGCTCAGTGGTAGAAAGCTTGCCTTGCATGCATGAGGCCCTGGGTTCCATTCCTCAGCACCACATAAGCAGAAAATAAATGCCGGAAGTGGTGCTATGGCTCAAGTGGTAGAGCGCTAGCCTTGAGCTGAAGAGCTGAGGGACAGCACCCAGGCCCAGAGTTCAGGCCCCATGACCGGACCCAAAAAAAGAAATCTGCCTCTCCCTTGTCATCTGGAGAGACCACACGAGACTGCAAATGTGCTTGCTGTCAAAAATCTTGTGACACTTGTTAGAAATAATCCCCAAACAAGCTCACTTCCACACAGTATCTGCAGTAAGTCTTTGAAATAATTAAACATCCTAACATCTATGTTTCCTTAACCACATATTTTCAGTAATTTTTCAAGGGAGAAATTCTAAAATTAACTTGGCATAACAACCCTGGAAGATGACCTTTGCTCATTTTTTTATCTCACAACTAACAAACCACTTCCAAAGTTATACTTGAAGAACTGTAGCTAGATGCAAAAGGTAAAAGATGTCACCTTTGCTATTATTTACTCCTATTTATTCTTTCCATCTCAGATCTTGAGAAGAGATTTCAAGGAGAGCTACCAAGGATGGAAAAAATGTAAACCCTTGTGGCAGGACTTCTTTTGATTCTAACCAGAATAATGCTTTCCACAGTTTCTGGGAAGAGGCAGCGGGTCCCAATTTACCTTTCACCCTGAAGACTGAGGACCAAGCCGGCTTGGGGGAAACTGAAAGGCGGGGAAAGCCTGGCCCGGGAGGTGGTGGAGGGAACAGGAGAGGGGTGGAGAAAAGGGGGGGGGGAGCCTAGCCCGGGGGCAGGGCATGGGGGAGGAGGGTGAGCGGGGGGGGGGGGGGGGGGGGCAGGGGGAGGAGGGGAGGCCTAGCATGGAGTGGGGTAGCCCGGCCCAAGGACGAGGGGAGGAGCCTGGCTCGTGGTGGGGGGGCAAGAGGGGAACGGGGGTGGGGGTGGAGCCAGGCCCGGGGTGCTGGGGGTGGGGATGGGGGAGCCGAGCCGGGGGACGGGGGAGGAGCCTGGCTCGTGGGGGTGGGGGGACGGGGGAGCCCAGCCCGGGGTGCTGGGGGTGGGGACGGGGGAGCCGAGCCGGGGGACGGGGGAGGAGCCTGGCTCGTGGGGGAGGGGGGACGGGGGAGCCCAGCCCGGGGTGCTGGGGGTGGGGACGGGGGAGGAGCCTGGCTCGGGGCGCGAGCGGGGACGGCCCGTGGGGGTGCAGTGTCACGGGCCGGTTTCCCTGACGAGGGGTCCCGGGTGGGAACGAGCTCTGTGGAAACACACACTTGCGCCCCGGGGCTCCGCGGGGAGCCGGACGCGGGGCCCGCGAAGGCCGGGGGCGGCCCCGCGGCGCGGGCCGGGGCGGCGCCGACCCGGTCGCCCGGTCGCTGACTGACAGGTGGCACCCGCTGGCCCCGAGGGTCCCGCTCGACCGGAGGCGCGGCGCGGCGCCGCAGACGGCGCGGGGCGGCGCAGAGGCGGTACCGGGCGGGCACTCACGTACCTATCATGGTCACTGCAGGTGGCAGCGGCTGGGCGAGCAGGGCCTAGGCGCGCTGGCGCTCGCCCGCGCCGCCACCAGCGGTTCTCTCAGGGAGAAGTCATCCGGGCCGCCCCTCCCGCGCGCGTGCGGCCGGCGCAATGCGCATGCGCGGCCGTCCCGGCGCCTCCTGGGAGTCGTAGTTTTAACGCGCAGTTTCTCCTCAGGGCGCCGCCGACCGCCGCCCTTTCCGGCTTCTGGCCCAGGAAACGCGCGTCACGAAGGGGCGGGACTATTCCCCGGCAATGTTGACGAGTCGCCTAGCAACCGGGAGGCTTGCCTTTGGAAGCTTGTTGCAGCTCTAGTCGCGGTCCGGCCCTTTTCCCGCCCCTCCCCTCCCCTCAACTCCCCTCACCTCGGAGCTGCCAAACACCGGGACCGACCTGGGCACCGCGCGGGGCGAACTTCTACCAGCACCGCGCCTTCCTACGTTTTTCCCCCAACTCCTTCTCACATCCGAAAACCCCACTGGTCCTGACGACACTGTTTTTTGGTAACAACGAGACAGTTTTTTAGGAAGATGGTGGCAGAGAAGGAGACCCTGAGCTTAAACAAATGCCCCGACAAGATGCCGAAGAGGACCAAGCTGCTGGCCCCGCAGCCGCTCCCGGTGCACCAGCCGCACGCTCTGGTGTCTGAGGGCTTCACAGTCAAAGCCATGATGAAAAACTCAGTCGTAAGTGACCTTCCTCCGTTGAGCGCCCTCGTGTCCAACCGGGGGATCGAGCTGGAGAGGTTGGTGGGCCCCGTGTCCCGGGGCGTCTGGCCGGAAGTGGCGGCCGGACAGCCCTGGGTGGGCGGCGTGCGCGCCCAGTTTACAAGCACTGCCCCGCGGCCCGGGCTCCTTCCCAGAGCCCGCAGACCCCGGCCCAGCGGGCCTGAGCCGACACTCGGCCGGGAGCCACCCCTCACTCACTGGGTTACCGCGCTCACTCACGCTCCCGCAGCCTGGGCACCTGACGGTGCCTCGGCCTTAAGCCAAGTCAGCCAGGTACAAACCTCAAGTTTTAGCTCCAGGAATACAGCTCACGTGTCATTCCCATTGCCGGTGACAATAAAAAGTAAGATACTCTCGATACCATCGCCAGGTAACGATTCAAAGCATAGGGAAGTGGTTCCTTTCCATGCATGAGAATTTTGTGTAAACAGCCTTGACTGGTAGACCGAAGCAAAGGTGGCTACTGACTTGACACCTGTCTTGAGAATTTATGTAGTTATAAAATGTGTTTCTCAAGCAGTTTCAACTAAGTCACTGTGAGATACAGAGAGAGAGAGAGAGAAAGGCCCTAAGACACAGACTCTGAATAAATTATTATTTAAAATATAAGCAGCAAATGTTTCCATAAAAGATTTTGAAGTCTACCTGTGGTAGCTGTAATCCCACCTGCTAGAAAGATGGAAGTAAGGAGAATCATGGTTTGAGACCAATTTGGGCAAATTGAGCATGATACCCTATCTAAAAAACAAACTAAAAGCACACAAAATAACCATGAGGTATGACTCAAGGTGGTAAAATACTTGCAAGAGTTCAATATTCAGTAAAACACACAGACATTAACACGTGTGTGTGTGTGTGCACATGCACACAATTTTAGGGAGAGCCAAGTGCGTGCTAATAAAAGATAAAAGATATCTGGGTAAATTGGATTTTGTATGCAAGTAAATAGATGTAATACACGTATGTAGACTTTTGAAAATTCAATTTGGGCCTAATATGGAATTCAGAATAGCCACAGGAGTGTGAAGATGGTGGAGTTTTTTAGCTCCAGTTCTCAGTTCATTTAATAGCAAGAATGAGGTCACTGCTGTTTGTGTAAGTTGATGCTGTGAGGATACAGGCCTGGATGACCTGAAGAGTCGGGGTCTGGGAAGCCTCCAGGGGAAAGTTTTCCTGACTGTATCATAACACTTGAGGAGGACCAAGGGAAGGGTAGAGAGTGCTCAAGAGCCTTAAAAGTTTATTCTCTGCTTTTTTTTTTTTAACCAGAAATACCTGTTAAAAATTTTGTCCTGCCTCCTGCACTGCTAAATCGGTTAAGAAAGGGTTGAAAGAGTTGAAACCAACTGAGGCTGTGGTTTTCAAGCAGAAATGAAAATTATCTGGGGAAGTTAAAATTATGACTCTTTGGCCCATCCTGAGTAATTCCCATTTAAATGTTTAATTAGTGGTTATGAATATTTGAGAAAACAAAACAATGGAAAGATCTCAAAACACTGCCGTTCAGGTAGCTATTCAGTTTTACCAAAAATGTTTATTAAGTAATGTTTTGTTTTCCCACTGTGTTGTCTGTTTTGTATTATAATACCATGCATTAGTCAGAGACATTAGTGAGAAATTTTTAGCCCATGTCACAAAGTTTTAATTATTTTAGCTTGGTAATATGCTTTAGAAGTTAGTGAAGCTAATTCTTCTTGTTAATTCATACTCAGAAAGTTCACTTTATTTTACCAGGTGACCTTTCAGCAGTAGATGAAGCGGAAATAAAAATGATCATATAAATCACTTGCAAAAATGGGTATATTATAGCGGTGTCTTTTATTAATATGGTTTTTACTCTGCATTTATAAACTTTATATCTCCTTGGAACACTTCTTCCCATCATATTTTCAGATATGTTTACTCCAGAACTTAATTTCTAAAACTCAGGAATTTATTTTCACTGTGTTAATTTCTTTTATTACAAAGTTGCTTTTTCTTCAGGGTTTCTTTAATATTCTTTTCTCCCATATATTTGATTTTTTACCATTAGCCATTTTGTAAAATGGTCTTTCTTCGGTAATGCATATCTGTAATAGCAGAAACACTTGTAGGAAATGTGTTTACCTGTTTTATCCTGTTCCATTGCATATAAAACCAGCTTGTTTATTAATTATTTTACTGTGAGGTTCCTACCAGTCAGTATACAGCATGCCTGTGTATGATGCCTTGTGCAAGTAGGCCAATTTTAGGTTTTTCCTGAATGCAGAAGAATCATACACTAAATAAAAAATTAATATGTCATTATCCAGGCATTTATTTATTTACCAAAGTTACTATCATTTGGGGGGAAATTGAAAACAATTATGTTCTAGAAATAATTTATAATTTAGAATGATACTTCTAAACCAATTCACATTGAAGTCATCAACATAATATGAATTAGAGAAAGTAATTCTAGAAAAATATGATTATATAATAAATGCCAAATAAAATAATGAACACAAGTAATGAACACAAGACAGATCATCACAAACTACCTTCCTTTTGTGGTTTTTACTTAGGAGAAACTCCATAGAGTTTGAGCCACAGCGCCACTTCCAGCTTTTTCCGCTTATGTGGTGCTGAGGAATTGAACCCAGGGCCTCATGCATGCAAGGCAAGCACTCTACCCCTGAGCCACTTTCCCAGCCCTGAGAACTATATTTCTGAGTATCTATTCTAAATTAAAGCAGCTATGAATTAATAGTCTTTGAGACAAATGATAAATTCTTTACCAAATTATCTATGTCCTGTACTTTGTATTTTTCTAAAAGTCTATATGGCATGGTAAAGCTATAGCATTTTTATGAAATGGAACAAAATGACACATTGCTAAATGTTTTAGCATGAACACAGCAATTATTCAAATTTAACACTGAATTTAAAATAGTTTTGAACGTTTTATGATGTAGTAATCAGACATAGAAACAAGGATAGTTATAGATAGTAGTATAGACAAATGTAAGTAAATTTTCAACAAAGATGAATAATCTGCCTATGCTTTATTTACTGCTGAAGTTCCATAAGCAAATAGTATGTACTATTTGCCAATGATTTCACTAATTCGTAAAGATACTCACTGATTTACGTATATCAAATTATCTTCTATTTTCTTTGGGAAAAAAAGCATTTCAGAAGTGCATCAAAAAGAGCTATTACAAAATAGAGAATATGAATGTTCTGTTCTCTGACTCCTTTGATGCTTTACCAACTATCTTGACCATAAAAAATGCTCAGGAGCATGCTTGATTGTTCAACCCCAATTCATCTGGTAAAAGTAATTCACTTCATCTGCACCCATTCCATATTTCTTTCATATTCACCACTAAAGGAAAGAAGATAGCCCCAGAGCTGGTGGCTCACGCCTGCAGTCCTAGCTACTCAGGAGGCTGAGATCTGAGGATCACAATTCTAAGCCAGCCCAGGCAGGAAAGTCCATGAGACTCCAATAAACCACTAAAAAACTGGAAGTGGTACTATGGCTCAAGTGGTAGAGTGCTCGCTTGAGCTGAAGAGCACAGGGACAGTGCCCAGGCCCAGAGTTCAAGCCCCACGACCACCCCCACCCACACACACACACAAAAGATAGATGATTAAATGACTAAGAACTCAGATAAAAGGGCCTTTCTATATATTACTATTTGCTTTGTTTTTATGAGTAAGATAACTTAAAATTAACTTGGAACTAATCAGCACTTGATCCTATCATGAAGTTACAGGAATGGTGTTATTCTGTAAAATGGAATCAAAAACCCAGACCATAGTTACTGAAGTCTTCACCTGGCACCTCCTCAGGGAGCATGTGGACACATTAACATGCCTCTGATGACTTATGTAGTGTAAATGCCAGCTTTATCCAGAGCTCTTCCTGTCAAAGGCAGAATAGCTTAAGCCACAGCCCGGTGCTGGTGTCTCATGCCTGTAATCCTAGCTACTCAAGAGGCTGAGATCTGAGGATAGCAGTTCAAAGCCAGCCCAGGCAGGAAAGTCCTTGAGACTCTTAGATTAGCCACCATAAAAGTAGAAGTGGGGCTGTGGCTCAAAGTGGTAGAGTGCTAGCCTTGAGCCGAAAGAGCTCAGGACAATGCCTAGGCTGAGTTCAAGCCCCACGACAGACAAAACAAGAAAGAGAAGAATTTGAGCCACTGTAGGAGCTAATACGGCAGTGACAAGGGAGGCAATGGAATCAGTTACACATAGGCAAAAATCTACATTTCAACCAACTGAGTTTTCCATATTAAGCCAAGATTTAGCCAGAAAGATCAAACAAGGAGCAGGTACTGGGAAACTGACCTTAATCCCTTAGTTGCTTATTAAGAGAGCACAGTCTATTACGTCCTCTA